ATGTATTTATAGTGAGAATAGGATGTATAGAATAACAGTCTGTTTGATTTAGGGTGATAAAAATTCACCAACTAGCATATATTTGTTTGAGTGAGACGAGGATCGAAAAACATTACATTTAGGGGGTTCAATACTGTTTTGATTTAAACGTCGAGTCATATTAGTTAGTTACTATTGCTCTTAATTGCAGGAAAACCAGTTTTAATAATGAGGAAAAATTGTTAGTTCATATGTGTAAAGTAAGAACGGAATGGTAAGGAATAACAATGTATTTGAGTATCCAGTTGGAGTCAAACACCGTAAAGGTCCAGCACACTGATGGTTACCCAAAATTGTTACTTATAGCAATTAAAAACGAATATATAAACTAGAAACATATTTTCTTAAAAAAATCAAAACTTAACTTTAATGGCTGTCAAGGTGTTCGTGAGTTATAATCCTCGCTCAATATCATCAAAAAAGAATGGAAAATGAAATCAGTACCAGACCTTCGGGTTTTAGGATAGATTGATATGAAACATAAACATCTACTTAACGAATAAATTCATATGAAAACCTACCGCTCTGTAGAATTCGCTACTGAAACCGACGGAAGATCTTCGCTACTTAGCGTCTTTCTGTTGTAGATCGACGAACGTGGTTCAAGAGTAGATGAGATACGTTTATCTAATTAGAGCCATGAAGAGGCTGGCGGAGTGGCGGGCTATCCAAGCGGGTATAAAATCTCTGCTGGTCTAGGTTTATATTATGTTGGGTTCGTTATATGTTGGGCTATTTATTGGGCCATATACTGGGTTTAAAATAGACTGGACAAAATTATGCATAGGATAATATAAAAATCCATGTGAAGTAATTTTTGTTCCAGTATAATCGTGCACGTCCATCCCATTGTTGATGATTGATCCAATAATCCTGCGATTTTAAGCTGCCCCTACACCTCCCAGAATTCCCCTCTTCAAGATAGGGGTGGGCCCGGTCCACGACGGTTCGGGATTTGGCTTATCCGGATCCAGTTTTTTAATAACGGTACGCTACGGTTCGAGACAAGTCTTTATCCAATGTTATCCCATTTAAACGGGACTGGGACAACCCGAAAAAAACGGGACGATTTGGGACGTCCCATAAAATATACATTTGTGAAATGCGATATAAAAATAAGCATAACATCAAAATAAAGACGTAAGTATTTTTGCAAATTTAGCTTCTCTAAAAACTTAAGTAAAACCTCTAATTAACTACAAGTATTTTTTATTATTGTCTTGTAAAAATTTTTGGTCCCCCCTAATCTTGTGTTTCCTATAGTAGAATTGTAGCGCAAAATATTTTTATACTTTGTAGCACACTTGTAATTTTTCAATACCACATTGAATTAAATATCATATCTATAGAGACTATATATTTTCTAGTAGTTATTTTGGAAAATATTAAATCAATAACACCACTATATTTTGGAATAGTAGTTATCTCATCATAAATAATATTTCGCACGTAATAATATATTATGGAGTAGTATTGGAATGAGAAATAAACAAATTTTAATCAAAAGAAACAAAAAAAAAAAGACTAACAGAGACATGAAATAAGATAAAATTACATTAGGGAGACTAGGGGCTAAAAAGTTTTAATTGTGTTTGGCTATTACATAGCATTAGAAATTTAAAATAACCTACTCCCTTCGTCCCTTATAACTGTCAAGTTTGACCGGCATGAGGATTAATAAAGTAAAAACTGTGTGGTTGAGATTTGTGCAGAAGAAAGAGAACTAACTGGAATCACAAATTCTTTACTTAAAATGGAAAGTGACAAAGTTAGTGGGACATCCAAAAAAGGAAATTTGTCAAAGTTTTAAGGGACAGATGGACTACTAATTTCAAACGGGACACCAGGATAGGACATGATATTGTATAGCTATCTGGTCCCGTCCCGGTTAATATCGTTATGGAACCAATTCAGAATGAATAAATTGCATCCTAAAGGGATCAGATAGTTTCGGGAGGGTATAGAATTTTTCAATTTGAGAGACCCGGATTCTTGAGCTTTCAAGTTTTCATAACTTTTTAAGCTATTTTCACAGCAAAACACAGCTGAAGCGCATGCTAAGGCTTACCCAAATTTTTTTGGTTTTTACCGAACCAAACCGATTTAGTTTGGTTCGGTATTCGGTATGTGAAAATGCATAACCGAAAATTCGGTTTACCGAAATTACGGTTCGGTTCGGTTCGGTTCGGTATTACCAAATGAACACCCCTGTGCTAAGCCGCTGCTGCCGCTAATTAGCGCCCATGAAAAGCAGCAGCCACCCCTAATGAGAACCATCAAAGCCCTCGCCAAACCTCTTTCGTCCAGAAACCACCACCTAGGGTAATAACTCTTTGTGTTAATTTTCAAGTTTTTTTTCCGGGCGATATGTTTGATTTATGGTGGTGATGTTTATAAGTTTCATTGTCTATATGTATGACGTTAATTAAAAAGTGCAAATCGCCCTTTATATAGGAGACTCTGTTCGTCCGTCGCCATTTGGGGCGGTCCCTGCTGGAATTTGTTGATGATTTTTTTAACATCACCTTCATTAAGTCTAGTTACCCATACCAAATTGCAGATAAACATTCAACCGGGAAGGCAGTCAAATGATTTTCTGAAATGTACTGCACTGTTTAACTGCGCAGTTATCTTCAGAAATTGATTTGATTGCCTTCCCGATTGAATTTTTAGCTGAAATTTGGTATGCATAAACTAGACTTAATGAAGAAGATGCTCAAAAAAATTCATCAAAAAATTCCACCGTAACCGCCCCAAATGGCGACGGCCGGACAAAGCCTCCTATATAAGGTGTGATTTGCACTTTTTAAGTTAATTCGAGAACCTATTGGACCCTTTTCACATTATTCAAATTTTTCTTTAAGCATTGCATTTCATTTCTATGCCCATAAAGTGTTTGTTAAAAGGCTACGATGAAATATCTAATGAAGTATTTAAAAAACTGATTTAAACGACTTACATGACCATGGCTTAAAAGCTTCTTTAATGACCCAAACTAATGTTTCAGACTATATCGTAAATACATGATGTTCCATGCATAAAAATGGAACAATTGTTGCCCTTTATAACATTATTATTTGTACAAACCATACTATGGTTTTAAAAGCTATTGTGTTACTTTACTGTGTAAAACTTGATAAAATGATGAGCAACTAATTCCAATTTTAGACACTGTAAAATTCACTTGCTCCATTATGCCCACTTGATTATTGAGGCGATCAACTCCTAAACAGATATCTTCATTTAGTAAGTTTAACTTCCATTTGTATGGAGAGCAGAGACTTGAATTATATATATTGTATTTTTTCTCCAATAACTTTAACAAATAAATAATCATCAATGTATGTTTTTTTGGTAACTAATTTCATGGTTCTTAGGCTTTGTTCAAACCTGATCGATTGAATGGTTGAGCTAATTCTTTCAATATTAGGATTCAGTATTTGGGTGAATAAATGAAATTCAAACATGATTGATTTAATTGCCTGCAGTTATGAGCTTATGGCAGTGTTGAATCAGCTTGAAAAGGTCATATTTTCTTATTTTCCAAGGGATGTCAAGCTTTTATTTTTGTGCTTCCGCATATTGTGGAAAATTTCCCACCTTCTGAAAAATGCTATAATAGGTAATTATTCAAAACAGTTTACTACATATTCTCTACGCCTTCTCATTATACCTTGTCATTGTCAATAATAATACTGGACTTCAAGAATTGGTCTCCACTCTTTCCTCGCTTATCAAAAATATCCTTCTTGCTGCTATTGAGTATTGACCTTCCTCCACATGCCCTCCTTGTCTTTTTGACTGTGGGATACTCTCAGTTCTCACACCTTCAACCTTTTTCTTGATTTAGGGTTTGTTTGGTTGGGGAGATAGGATGGGAGAGAATGGGATGTGTGATTGTTATTTTTTAAAATGATTTCTGTATTAGATTGTTGTAAATAGATTGAGATAAAAAATTATATAGAAATACATGATTTAACTCATATTTATAGTCTAAAACTACACAACAGAGATAAGTTAGTTAAGTAGTACTTTACACTTTCCTTTTCGGGTCGTCCTATATTAAACTTTACATTTTCTTATTTGCCTTATTTGGCAAACAAATCTACACGAAACAGTGCAAAACAGTGCCAAACAGTGTATTCTACACTAAAGTCAAATTTATTTTCTTAATATGTGTGAAGTTAAAGTGTAAAGTTTAATAAGGACTGGATGGAGTATCAATCAATCATTCCCTCTCCTTCCCTTCGAAGTCCTTGAATCAAACAAACCCTTAAAGTTTGGAATAGGAATTCAGGCACACATGCTACATTATTTACATATTTAAGCAGAGTAAGATCTCATTATTGTTAATAAGTCAATACTCATTCTGTACTGGCTGCATTCCTATTAAACTGTAGGCTGAAGAAAGGCACACAAAGATCTTAGGACATCTTCTCTATGTTGCCAAAGATGTAGCAGACAAGGAAGCAATTTTGGATGGCTCTCGGGTTGTTATTAAAAAATGCAAGTTCACTCCTTTCAATTGATGGTAGTTTTGTTTGTTACGGAAAGAATTAAAATAGTTTCCTGTAGCTCCTAGAACGTGAATAGTTTCAAAATGAAGACAGATGAAATGGCCTCAGGGCTAAGATTCTAAGGTTTGATTCAAGAAAAGTTCATATATTATGTATTTATGTTTGTATCCTCTTACTCTTCTTTTGTCCATGTTCATCATCAAACTAGATGGAATAAATGATTTGCCCTTATTGAATTTTCACAATGTAACATGGATACACCTAAATTTTGAGTTGTGTACTCAACTGTCATGCATTTCAATGACACAGGCTAACCTTATGTTCCATTTTCATTTTGCGCTTTGAACTGAAAGCTTGAGCATTTAAAACCAATCTAGTCAGGTGTTGCAAATTGCAACCTAGACAGTCCGGGACACATTGGAGTAGTACTTTGTATTAAACTCATTAAACTGGAAAACGCTTGTATTAAACTCGTTAAGACAAACAACCAAACATTCAACCTTCCACCTACGTACCCAACCCTTCTCTCTAGACTTCTTGTAGCCAATAGGTCCTCTCACTTTCTGATCAGACATAGAATAGTTTCCCCAATAATGAAGAGACTAATCGTTGAACATGCGAGATATTCGAAACAATTATCGACCAACATAGTCTGATTGCTTCCTCCCCAACTAATCAACTAATAATTAAACCCACCAAATAAGAATTATACCAACTGTCCCCAAGTGCAACAAAAGAAATAAAAACAAACTAATGAGTAGACGACTTAAATTTAGCCAATAAGCATAAAAGGCCAGATCAGGCTACCAAACGCAGCGTAAACCAGCCACATTACTCTGCAGCTTTTGACATAGTTAAATCTACAGAATAAAGCATTCCCGAAGATGAGGTGAGGCGTCTTAGGGCAACAACAAAACGAGTCTGAAAATGAGACAAAAATTGGTGTCAGCAGGGTGATAAACTTCAAACGAATAATGAACATTTTGTGTAGTGATAATTGAATTTTTTACCCATTGAAATGCAACAAGTGTAAACCAACAGCCTGGCAAACCAGATCCTTTACTACTCAATAGCTGGGTATCACAACAAGAAAATGTCAATTAATGCATCAACAATTCTTAATGACAAATAGGAACACTATATGCACATGTGTTCCGCCAAATCTGAAGGCCACATTTGAATGATAGTCAAGGAAAAGAATTGATGTGCTCCAAAAGAGTAATACTCTCACCATGTGGCATGTTTTATTGAATGAAGAGAAAAAAACATAGTGTAAAAACTTGATTTGTTCAGTTAGTAAGCAACGCACCAAGCAGAGAGTCAACGGAACGGAGCAGAAAATGGGAGAATGCAAGTCGTATAAATATACAAACTGTTCATGGTTTTCTTGAATACGGCTAATGAGAGTGACAAAATAGAAATGAAAACCATTGAAAAACTTGAAAGGAAAGAACACTTGGGGATAAAAACTTGATTCAATGTTCAAACTCAATATATCAATTTTAAAAATACGCTCAAACTCGTGTTGGGTTCATGTTTTATATCTCTATACCTGTAAATCTAAATAGTTGTAAAGTTTTAAACAAATATTACCTCTTTTTGTAATGGTAAGCTGAAGAATAAGAAATTATTTTCTTAGCATTCTTCCCCTTTACTAGAATTTTGGGTGTTCTAAATAGAGCCTGAACATACCAAAAGGAGGAGGGAAGCCAAACCAAAAATCCCAGACATTGATGCACTGATGAATTTCAAATCTCGTCCAGCCTGAGAGTTCATAAGAACATTTCATATAAACATTACTCTTTACTTATAAAGAATAAAGTACATTTTAGTTTGTGTTATGTTTTGAAAAATCAATTGAAGCATAAAGGGCAATTTTTTATATACTCCATTAGCCACAATACAGAGAGATTGTCAACATTCAACCCTTGTCTTTTGCTATCCTCTCACTCTTCACCTTTCTATATTGTTCCATGAATAAAGTCCAAGCCCTCATATGTTCTTGTCATTCACATTTCTAGACAGGAATGCATGACGCACATTAACCGAAACATAACTACATCTTGCTAAACTGGTTTCCCGCATCCATTGGCTGTAGAGAACAAAATACTACCCTCACCTAAAAAAGTCATGTTTGACCAAGCCACCAAGTACCTCTATTTAATTTTATAAGGTACAATTGCTACAAATCAGTATTCTTACTTATACTTTATCAACTTATTTTCCTTTTAAACTAAAAAATATCAAATGAAACAACTCATGAACTCATCTTTGCTCAATTGCATTAAATTTGATCAAACATGATGTTCCAAACATGACTCATTGTTTGGGAGAGAAGAGTAATTCCTTCAACCCAGGGTTAACAGGACACTATTGAGATAACATAGAACAAGTGAACATTCTAATGGAAGCTAACATACCAACAATGTTCCCTCAAGGCTGTGGACACTGGGCGACACACAAAGTGAAAGGAAGTATGGAATCAATATGCGCTGCATCTGGAACAATTGAAAGTTGGAATTAGTTTAAAAAAGAAGTAGAAAATGAATCCAAATTGTCCACCGTGCAACCAAAGATAAATTTGTCCCATCCATCCATTAAGAATTTAAAACATACATCGGATTCGATACATCTATTTGTATTATTTGTGTGACACATCCATTATTTTCAATCCATAGGATCAGTTTTAGAAAATTTTGAATTCCATGGGAACCATTGAATTTCACATTTGTTAATGGTTTGTTTTTGTGTTGGATAATATGTGTGCTCACACGCTGATGTGTCATTGTAAGCATTGCTCAAGAATCTCTTAACATGCAAACAATATTAAAATGGATGGATTGGATAATTTATATTACATAGATCATGGATGGATTAAATGTTCAAATGATCCATAAATGGATTACTGTTTTTCTATCAATCCTTTCATTTTCATCTCAATAAAAAGTAATCTAATCCATTCATTTGTCACCGTTGCTCTAAATGAGAACCGACAGCTGTCTACAACAACAACATTACCCTAGCTCCGCAAAGGCTCCCACCTACGGTGGGGTAAGGGGGGTCGGATGTATGCAACCTTACTCTTGTACTAAAGCACAAAGAGACTGTTTCTGAATGATGCGGGATCAAAATCGCGTCGAAAATTGCATGGACGGACTACTGCTTCATAACTATGAAGCACAAACAGTTTAGTGGGTCATTTTGCTTTATTACTGCATATACTCATATTCCCACGCCAAAAATAGTGAGTCTTTGGGTCCATTGGAAATGATGGAAATTACCGACAGCTGTCTGAGAAGATATAATCAACAGCTAAGTGAACAAACCTCTTGAATGACCATGGGGTCAGGTGAGAATATTTTGGGGAACAACCAGGGAATTGAGGTTCCAATACATCCCAATAAGAATCCATTTAGTGCAGCAATCATCAACAATGACTTGAACAGCATTCGAGCCTGTTTGAACCATAAATCATTCAGAACATTATTTCCTGATTGATATCTGGAATTATATGTTGGTGATCCAACTATCTAAGCAAAGTGCTTATAAGGATATGAAGCATGCAATCCATGAATGTACCAATGAGGTTTGGTAATAATTAGAAAGTTAGGGGTTGAGTTTATCAAAAGCAATCTAAAAGTTTTTCCTTTAAAGTCAGTAGAATAAAAATAAAACCTTTGACAAATTTCGATTAACTCCATATATCAGCTCGGGCATAAATGACTGTGCTGTCTGAGAGAGAGGCTCGCTCCATACAGCACATAAGCAGAACAGCTGTATCATGACCTATATCGTATTGAAGGTTATTAGTATTTACGCTCATAAAATTAATTACGCACTCAGGTGCACATTGGTATCCATGCAACCGGTAAAGAGTCCCACCATAAGGGCCTTAACCTGCCTTTAGCAGGAGGCCACATCCAAGACTTGAACCCGTGATCTTCTGATCACTACAGCGAACCTTAACCGGTGCGCCGGCGTAATATTAATTTTTCGAGAAAATTGATCCAAAAAAAAACAGAAGAAAAACCTGATGGCCAGCAAGTACGTGTGTTCCCATTGATGTAATGCAATAGACAAGCAAAGTGTAAAATGCCACCTACAAGTTCAAATCTGTAAGCTGCAGAGTTCATCAAGCCTATCAAAAGGTATACCTAACATGAGTAGCAAATAACTGAAAACCTTAGACATCATTGTTACAAACACTGGGCCTGCCAGAATGAATAACTGCAAAAGTTCCTCACGAGAAGGAATAGAGACTGCAAAGCCATTATATCCTTTCTGGTTCAAAGCTTCAATCATCATATAAGCAGCAACCACCTAAAATTTGCTACTTAATGATAAACATATCTAATGGACATTATTTGTATTATTATTAAAGATAACAATGAAATTTAATAGAGATTATTTACACTAATATTAAAGATAACATTTAAATTTCGGCATACTTGTGACACCATTGTTGCCCATGCAGCTCCTGCAATTCCGTAATTGAAGAATCTGCACAGAACTATATCTCCAACACCATTAATAGCACTGGCTACTGCTAATGCTTTTAAAGGTCCCCATGAATCTTTCATGCCTAGGCTGTGTGTGAGCTCAACAAAGAGATATAAAAATTCACCAAGTTAACTCATAGACCAAGTAAATAATTCAAGCAACATTTGAATCTAATTACATGATTACACATGCATATGTGCGTCTGAGAGATTATATGCGCACAACAGTTGAAATTTATATGAGTTGATCTTATCACTATTGAAGGAAAGAAATAATTCAGTTTCAGGATTCTTTAAAACACAATATTGTAGTCAGCAGTTACATATCTTTGGCATTTACTATAGTATTATTATTTACCTTATATGCATGATTAAGAGATGTATAAATAGCAGCCTTGTAAATCAGTTTTATACACACAGAAATATATTCAAAACACTTGTTCTCTTCTTTCTGTTATGGTATCAGAGCCACACGAGCTCTAACCAGCCATCTCCCTCTCCCTATGGAGGCAGACGACCCCCCTCAGCAAGGGGATCTCAGAAATTCCCCAAACGGGCAGCCTACCATTTCTTCTACAAATTCCTCTACTGCAGTCATCAACCCCCTCACTCCAGATGGGTTAATCATCCTCAACCCCAGCCACTTCCCAGAAAAACTTGAAGGAACGAATTACCTCATATGGCGTGACCAAGTGCTTGACCTCTTGGTTGGCTCTCATCTCGACCAATACATCAGTGATGGCGCTGTTCCGCCACCTGCCAGTGAAGCTGCAGGCCATCTCCGGTGGAATCGTCAAGACCGTCTCCTCCGACATGCCCTTGTCTCCTCCCTGAGCTCGGCGTGCAAACCATTGGTTGGATCCGCACGTACCTCTGCTGCGGTGTGGAAGACCCTGGAGCAGCTTTACGGCACCCGTTCAGCAGCTCAAATCCGGAATATGAAGGATGTTTTCCGCCACACTCGACAGGGATCTAAGGCAGTGGGTGAGTATCTTCATCATCTCCGTACCCTCGCCGATGAATTAGCTAAGGCTGGCCGCCCGGTTGACGACGACGACTTCGTCCTTCAAGCCATGGAGGGCCTCCGACCTGAGTTTGAATCCTTCACAAACTCCATTCGCACGTGTGGAGATAACAGTTTCGGCAACATCTCCGGGAATAGTAATCCCAATTTCGGAGCAAATATTATGTGCCAAATTTGTGGGAAACCAAACCACTCCGCTCTCAATTGTTGGCATCGGTTTGAACAACAGGCTTATCCTCCTCAGGTCAACACGGCTGTTACTAATCATAATGGATGGTTACTTGATTCTGGAGCAACCAATCATGTCACCAACAACCTGAATAATCTTACCTTGGCATCCGATTATACTGGCACTGATTCTCTCGTTATTGGTAACGGTAAAGGTCTTGCGATAGCACAAGTTTGGCATATGACCCTTCACTCTCTTTCTCTACATAATACCCTTTTCGTCCCTTCTATTCATACCAATTTAATTTCTGTCGCCAAATTATGTCGTGATAATGATGTACTAATTGAATTTCATTCTTCATTTTGTCTTGTTAAGGACCGGCGAACGGGAGCAATTTTGTTACGGGGTATGAATAAAGGAGACGTCTACAGCTTGCCAGATGTACCCCCTCCACCATCTCCGTCTGCTCACATCACACAAAAATATTCCCTTAATAATTGGCACTGTCGCTTAGGACATCCAGCCCTCCCTATTACTAAAAAAAATTTGTCGTCCTTAGGTATTTCCTTTTCCGATGTTACTTCGAATAACTCTTTGTGTGTCTCGTGTGCTAGTAATAAAAGCCATAAGCTGCCCTTTGCAAAATCATCTCTTTCGAGCTTTGGACCTCTAGATTTAATCTATACAGATGTCTGGGGTCCCGTTCGTGTTAATTCTATTGATGGCTTTCGTTACTATGTTATCTTTGTTGATCATTATACCAAGTATATTTGGTTTTATCCTATAACTCATAAAAGTGAGGTCACTCCACTCTTTCAAAAGTTTAAAAAGATTGTTGAAAACTTTTTTCAACGCACAATTAAAACAGTTTATTCTGATGGGGGAGGTGAATACATAACCTTAGGGAAATTCTTAAGCACGTGTGGGATTTCTCATTTATTTACACCTCCCTACACTCCAGAGCACAATGGCTTTGCTGAACGTCGGCATCGTCACATTGTGGAAACTGGTATCACCCTACTTCACCATGCATCTATGCCTCTTAAATATTGGTCTTATGCTTTTCTTACCGCAGTTTATCTCATTAATAGACAACCTGCTCTCTCTCTTAACTTCTGCACTCCATACGAAAAACTCTTCCAACAACCTCCTAATTACACTAAACTTGCTGTTTTTGGGTGCCAATGTTTTCCGTGGTTACGTCCCTATACCACTCATAAATTAGAACCACGCTCCAAACCATGTGTCTTCCTGGGATATTGTGACCAACAAAGTGCCTATCGTTGTCTTGATCTTACCACCAACCGTATCTTTGTCAGCAGACATGTTGTGTTTGATGAGTCAGTCTTCCCTTTTTCTACATCCTCACCACCCGTCTCAAATATCACTTCTGAAGTTGATCACTGGCTTCCGCCTTCTATGTCTTATTTTCCCATTTCAGGTACTCTGGCTGCGGGGGCGTCTCCTCCTACTCATACCTCGGCTCAACAATTGACTCTTGACACGTCACCCACTACCTCTACTCAAACTGATATCCCGCTTTCTCTTCTCCCTAAACCCACACCACCACAAATTATTACTTACCAACGCCGACCCAAACCCAATTCTCCTATCCCCCCCTTGTTTACCCGCCACTGATCTCACCACCTCAAATCCACCCCTCGATACTCCACCGCCCAAACGTACCCATCCGATGACCCTTCGACCCCGTAAACAAGCCAATGTTGCCACTGTTGATCCTTTACCTCACCATATAATTCCCACTTGTGCTTCTCAAGCTATGCAGGTACCACAATGGCGGAGTGCTATGACAGTAGAATTTGATGCCTTGGTTCGACAGGGCACTTGGGATCTTGTTCCAGCTCAGCCCGGTCAGAATATTGTGGGTTGTAAATGGGTATATACAGTGAAGTATAAACCGGATGGCTCCTTGGATCGCTATAAGGCTCGGCTAGTGGCTAAGGGCTTCCATCCGCGCCCCGGGATTGATTATTCCGACACCTTTAGTCCGGTCATCAAACCGGTCACCATTCGTATTGTTCTGACTATTGCTCTTTCTCATGGTTGGCCAGTACATCACTTAGATGTCAATAATGCATTCCTACATGGGACTCTTCAGGAGGAAGTTTACATGAAGCAACCTCCGGGCTTTAATGATGGTTATGGGTTTGTTTGTCGTCTTCGGAAATCTATTTATGGCCTTAAACAGGCACCTCGTGTGTGGTATCAATCTCTTAGTGGCTTTCTTCTGTCACTTGGGTTTTCTCAATCGGTTGCTGATGCCAGTCTGTTCATCTTTTCCTCCCATTCATCTTACATCTATGTTTTGGTCTATGTGGATGATATTATTGTTACTGGCTCTACACCCGACTTGATACGTCAGACTATTGACTCATTGGCCCACCGATTTTCTATCAAGGATCTTGGCTCCCTACACTATTTCTTGGGCATGCAGGTTACTCCTACACAGGGCGGACTCTTCCTTGATCAACATAAATACATTATGGACTTATTAAAAATGTTAAAAATGGATGAGGCCAATCCGGTAGCTACGCCGTTAGCTCCTTCTGCTTCATTAACCCTGTTTGACAGTTCAGGTACATGTGATGCCACTCTCTATCGCCAGGTCCTCGGGTCACTTCAATATTTGAATCTTACCCGTCCAGATGCTGCCTTTGCTATTAACAAACTGGCTCAATTCATGCATAAACCTACGGTCAATCATTGGCAACTTCTCAAACGTCTTTTGCGCTATCTACAAGGAACTGCTTCTCATGGCCTGTTTCTCTGTCCTAGCACATCCCCCTCTCTCCGTGCCTTTGTTGATGCTGACTGGGCAGGGAACCCTGATGACCGTTCTTCTACTAGCGCATATGCCATTTTTCTCGGGGAATCTCTTATATCTTGTAAATCAGTTAAGCAACGCACCATTGCTAAGTCTTCCACGGAAGCTGAATATCGAGCTCTTTCCACCGCTGCCTCTGAAATTATTTGGATTGAATCTCTGTTGCGTGAGTTGCGGCACCCGCTCCCTTCTCCTCCACTCCTCCTTTGTGATAACAAAGGTGCCACTACGTCTTCAGCAAATCCTGTCTTCCACACTCGCATGAAACATGTGGCAATTGACTTTCATTTTGTTCGACAGCGGGTTCAACGTGGCCTTCTTCAAGTTCATCACATTCCATCCTCTGATCAGATAGCTGATGCCCTGATAAGTAACTGAAGAATCCAAGAAGAAAGTAGTAGTTTATTAATGAACATTTAGTGAAGGAATACAGAAAGTCATGAAAGGAAAGGTTTGAGACTCTTTGAGTGGTCTCTCACTCCCAATATCCCAGTCCTGATCCCAAGTTCTGCCTCCCCATCTACTCACCACTCACCCTTATTTATTCTATTTCTAATGGGCCAGTCAAGGCCGACTACTACCAGGCCCAGGACCCTCTATTACACTATCACACTTAATTATTATTATTCTTGTAAGCCCATTATCCTAACATATCTCCCCCGTTGGACAACCACCTTGTCCTCAAGGTGGGTGATATTAAACAGCCTTGATCTTTAGGTTCACCTTCATTCTTGCGCCTCTCCCTTCCCAGTACTTCACTGCTTTCTGGACCCATACCTTCCTGATTTGAACCTTCATCATCACTCCTTCAATAGCCAGAAAGAGCATAGCAAGAAAGAGCAGAGGCAAGGACTTTGTTGCATCCTGCTCCGCAATGTTGCAGAGGTAAAGATCTTCTAGCAACTGCATCTCTGGCCCAACTTCCCACCACTTTATGCTGTATTTCCTGAAATTTTTCTCTGCAGCTTCAGCAACTGTCCCTTCGAGCAAAGCATGAGTTGAAAGTGAGCTGGCATCGGCCTCAACATTTTCTGCCCCTTCCGGATTATCTGGTGGACATCCTGTGGGTTGAATATCGTCATCGTTCATCTCCCTAAACATGTAATGAATGCCATAAATAGCGGAGAATGTGGGTAGGTTTGACTTCCTATTTAATATAGAAGATAAGTGTCTGTTCTCCAGCTCCCATACCATAGGACCTTCCATGTTGTTCCCTCCAACTGCTTTCAGTATACCATCTGTGGTCCCCATAGTTAAGAACTGTTGAATAGGGTCAAAATGATTCCAGTACATCACACCACCACCAAAGTGCTGATTATAATCCATACCAAGACAACCAGAGACCTCTAATTCGTCTTCTGTGATATGATAGTGGTGCAGTACTTTTTCAGCATCACTATTGTTAGCTACTTTCATAAGATCAGAATTATAGCAGTGAATATAGCTCAAACTATCAAACCCCTCAGAGGAATTATTTTGATTTTGCATTTCAATTTTGTCCTCCTTTTTCTCAGACTTTGATTCATCCTCTTCCATTTCCTCAGTTTCCTCTTCAGAGAGAGTTTTCTGCGGATTGCCTGACTCTTGTGACACGTACAGCAACGACGACGTGGAGGCTTCTCCTTCCAATCGCATCGTGCCTTGAAGTGAACTGCTAGGGTAGGATGAAGTCTGCGAACTGATGGTGTCTCCTCTGTCTGGAGTGATACTAGGGTTCGCATAGGGATTTCACAGCGATTTGGAGTCTCCTTCTGATAGCCTCACACTTTGATTAGAGATGATAGTAGATGAAGAAACCTGCGAACAAGGGAGATCTATTTGCGAAGAAACTTGTTGACTGGAAGATGTTGTTCGCGACGAAGCTGAAGAGGCTTGCGAAGACATCTACGGACCGGTAGAATCAGCTAGCGACTGTGAAGAGACCTGCGCTAGCGAAGGTGTCTGCGAACTACGCGAAGCAGTTCGCGATTGCGAACTAGGAGGAGCGACGGACGGAAACACCTGATTTTCGATAGGCCGACGGTGTCTAGGTGGACTCCTAGCTCTGTCTCTATGTCACCTCTGACGGTGACGAAGTTTGCACAACATATAGCGCAACTCCTTCCACTGACTGTCGCTATTGTCCATCTTCTTCTTCAACTGTCGTTGAAACTGACGATCGATTCAGGCTCCAGGAAGGATGCTTTGATACCAATGATAAGTAACTGAAGAATCCAAGAAGAAAGTAGTAGTTTATTAATGAACATTTAGTGAAGGAATACAGAAAGTCATGAAAGGAAAGGTTTGAGACTCTTTGAGTGGTCTCTCACTCCCAATATCCCAGTCCTGATCCCAAGTTCTGCCTCCCCATCTACTCACCACTCACCCTTATTTATTCTATTTCTAATGGGCCAGTCAAGGCCGACTACTACCCGGCCCAGGACCCTCTATTACACTATCACACTTAATTATTATTATTCTCGTAAGCCCATTATCCTAACATGCCCTCACCAAACCGCTCCCCCGGCAACGCTTCATTCTTCTTAGAGACAAGCTCAGGATTCTTGGCAGTGACAGAATACCTGGCTTGCGGGGGCGTATTGAAGGAAAGAAATAATTCAATTTCAGGATTCTTTAAAACACAATATTGTAGTCAGCAGTTACATATCTTTGGCATTTACTATAGTATTATTATTTACCTTATATGCATGATTAAGAGATGTATAAATAGCAGCCTTGTAAATCAGTTTTATACACACAGAAATATATTCAAAACACTTGTTCTCTTCTTTCTGTTAATCACCACCTTAATTAATCACGACTACGTTGGAGTCAATGACATGAAACTTTATAGTGTCAAATAGTTAGTTGTCTAAATATATTTAAACTCTTCCACAAACCTGATATGAGCCAAGAAACATTGTATTATTATCACTATTATTATTCATATATCTGCTCTAGCAAACTTCTCAATTAGCATTTATCTCATTTTATAATTATTCTTATTCTGCTCTAGGCAACTTCTTAATTAGCATTTATTTCTTTTTATAGTACCATGAGTATTATTTAGGCCAAATTACCGGATTGGTAAAAAAAGAGGGTAGTTTACCGGATTGGTAAAAAAACCATTTCAGACAAATTGGTAAAAGAAGCTCTCGTAACAAATTGGTCAATTTATTGTGTGTGAGACACTTGTGGTCCTCGACTTTAGAATTTTCGACATTTCATATCCTAAGTATTGTGAAATTGACGTTTTCACTCCTACTTTGATTTCAGAAGTAGATGACTAAAAATGTCAAGGGCCGCACTTGAGAATAGCAGTTGTCTGCTAGCTAATAGCCGGTTGAATCAGCAGATTGATACTAACGGATTCCGTTACCTTTTTTAACTAATTGCTTTCATTAGCGGTTTGAAATAAATTTTTAGTAACTTAGTTGTTTGTAATTAGCTTTTAAGACCTAAAATGACCGTTAAGGATATGAATGTAAAAGTTTATATATTTAACCTAAATTTATTACTTTTATTTTTAATAAGTCTTGGAAAATGTTTGAAACTTTTTATTTACGTTTATTTTAAATAACTAACACTATCATTTTTAACATATGTACATTAACGCGAGTACACACTTATAAATTCATATATTTTTAGTATTAATAATTTAAATATGATTATTTATTAGTTTTTTTTAAATCTACTCCAGTTAAAAATTCTACTCCATATGACTATTTATTAGTTTTTAAAAAAACCTACACCATAGTTACTTAAAAAAATGTAAATATAATTTTAAAACTTTTTGCAAGACTTATTAAAAAAATAAAAAAATAAAGTAAGTTGTGTATATATACTTTTAAATTCATATCCTTAATGGTCATTTTACGTTTTAACATTTAATTGCAAACAGTAACTAACATTTTATATCAAACCGCTAATGAAAGTGATTCGTTAAAAAAGTTAATAGAATGGAGTAGATTTTTAACTTCATTTTATTTCAAACTGCTAATAAAACGCTAATAAACTTTTAAATTCATATCCTTAATGATCATTTTACATACTAACTTATTAACATTTTATTTCAAACCGCTAATGAAAGCGGTTAGTTGATTTAACCGGCTAGAGCTAGTAGACAACTGCTATTATCAAACACGTCCGTTGACATTTTCCTCCACTATAGATGAAAAAATCAAAGTAGAAGTACTGAAAATGTAAATTTCACAATACTTAGAATATAAAATGTCGAGAATTCTGAACTCGAGGACCAAAAGTGTCACTCATAAAAAAATTGCCATTATGTCATTAAGGCTTCTTTTTTACCAATATATCTTAAGTGGTTTTTTTTACCAATCTGGTAAACCACCCTTTTTTTTTCCAATCTGGTAATTTCGCCGTATTATTTAATAAACGACCAATAATTAATTCTCATGGGTCTTGACAAGGTGGGACACTGATTAAGTCTAGCTTAGGCTTAAGTTTTTATTACACCCATATTCTCTATTTCCTAGATCTGAAACGAGATCTCAACCACGCTTGTACCAAAATCGTGTTTCAACCATCAAATTTCAAAATAAGAAACAGTGAGATGAAATTTTAAAAAATCCATTATAATAGGGTTATAAAATCTATTCCACTTAAATCGAAAATATCATGAGATGGGGAGATGAGTTAATTAAGCTAATTGCTATAGTGATGGCCCATTACAAAATTAATATTGTAAAACCAATGAATTTTATAAGATTACAATAAAGTTTAGTCCCATAGAGCACTTCGATTACTCGTTTTTTACTCCCGTGCCAAACTGACTAGACATTTCCTAGCAGTGTAACGCTAACTATAGCGTTCCTCTGAACAGAATAAGAAAAATTGTTTCAAACCTTGCACTTTGGGTGACCAATCCAACTAGTATTGCTGGCCATGCTAGCCCCCGAATCTATCAAAGGGAGAGTTTTAATTCAATTGAACTGTAGCTGATACAAATGAAGCATACAAACCAAACAGTTGGACTATTAAATAGTCAACCATCTTTGAGGTGGCATGTGCATTTCACAGAACCAAATCCACACAGTTTAAATGGGAAAGAAATACCAGACAGCAGATAAGCTGATATGCACATAGTCCCGTCGGCCATACTTTACTTGAAAACATTAGAAATATAAATCACTATTACAAGGAAAAAGACGGGAATTTACTTATTCACAAAAGAACCTGAACATATGTATTTGCCGCGCTTATAATTTCAGCATTTCTTGCCCCCGCAAAAGCTGAATGCCACATCAGTATTTTCATCACTCGCCAAACGGAATATGCTACCAATTAAATATCATATTCCTCAACAAGTGCTAAAAAGTTTCTATTTACCAGTTAGGGCCAATGGACCAAATAATCTTGTAAAGAAAAGCATTAGACAACCGAAGGTCAATGCAATAAAAAGCAGTGTAGATATTTGGTGTTGAACTTCATGTTTATCCTGCACCACACCAAAAGCACAACCACGACCTGTTTTTATGGGCCAACAACTACATAAATCTCTAACAGCTATTGACATTAATGGAACTTAGCAGTGCCAAATTGTTCAAATTGCGTAGGGCGTACCTGTCTAGCTAGAGCAGTAGCCACCAAATTAGAAGTAGCAATTGAAAGAAACATAAAAACGTAGCTTGCATTATCGCAAAAAACTGTCCCTGGTCCTGACAGTATGGAAGTCAAATGAACATATAAATGCGCAAATTTATTCAAATAATCACTGGTATAGCTAAAAAAGAGCTGAAGAACATGCACGCAGGAATGGGCAATACCTAGAGCTGCTAGCTCGAGTGAGCTTCCTTGGCCGACAATAATAGTGTCAATTAGGCTCATCAACGGACCGCACAACCAAAGTCCCACGGCCGGCCCAGAGAACTTCACAATTTCCACAATTTGGGTCCAGATGCCGTTATCTGCAGAAAACTCTTGTACCTCAGCCTTAGACTCTAACATGCGGGTTGAATTCTCAGGCTCCTCGAAGCCTTCATCAGGTATATGTGTATCTCGACTTCGACTGGTGCAGGCGGTGGTGACTAAGGTTTGACGAAAGCGGAATCGAATCCGTTTCAGAACGGGAGAAGCGCGGAAACAATTGGGTGGGTTGTCGATGCGGGCTGTCCGGTTCAAGCTATGAACTCCGAGTTGGACTGGAAATGAGAAGTTGTGTGTTCGGATTCCGATGTACATGTTGACGTTCAGAGCAGCGCCGAGTGGCTGAGCTGCCAGAAGAAAGATTGGACTTGGCTACTTTTCGCACCGAAACATAAAATACTTCAAATTTTCGCGGCTATGATGTCATGAACAATCGTCCGTTCAAATATGATGCAGCCCATGGATGATGTCACGGACTTATTCTCGCCAGGAGAGTCGTGACAATGATCAGAGGATGTTTTTCAGGACACGAACTCACTCATGATTTGTTCACCCATAGTCACTCGTTTTCTACTTTTGTGCTACTTCCTTCTTTCTTTAATTTTGATTTTTTTACTATTCATAGATCTTACTTTGATCACGATTTTCTACTAATATACATACGATTTTCGGCACAAGTTCTATGAACTTCTTCGGGGTTAAAGATTTGGTGAAGAGGTCAACCGGATTTTCACTGGATCTGATTTGTTGAACGTTGATCGTCCCTTCTTTCTCCAGATCATGAGTGGAGAAGAATTTTGGTGCTATGTGTTTTGTTCTGTCTCCTTTGATGTAGCCTTCTTTAATGTGAGCTATGCACGCAGTGTTGTCTTCGTAGATCACAGTAGGGTGACAAGTAATAGGCTTCATACCGCATTTGTTTTGGATGTGTTGTTAACTCCGAATGATTCGACGATGTAGCTGTCAATGTCTGCTTCATAGATCTCCACGAGATTGCGGTATTACCATAAGTAAATACGTACCCGGTTTGTGATTTCGCCTTTTGAGGATCTGATAAGTATCCAGCATCTGCATATCCGATTAAAGTGACTTTTGCATCTTTGTCGTAGAATAAGCCAAGATTAATTATACCACGGAGATAACGGAAAATGTGTTTGATCATGTTCCAATGACGCCTTGTTGGGCATGAGTTGTACCTAGCTAATAAATTTACAGAAAATGCAATATTTGGTCTAGTATTATTAGGTAAATACATTAAAGCTCCAATTGCACTCAGATATGGTACTTCGGGACCGAGTATTTCTTCATTGTCTTCTCGGGGACGGAATGGATCATCATGCATGTTGAGAGAACGAATCATCATTGGTGAAGTCAACGGATGAGCTTTGTCCATGTAGAACCGCTTCAACACTTTCTCGGTGTAATTGGATTGATGGATGAAAATTTCATTCTTCAAATGCTCAATTTGAAGTCCGAGACAAAAATTGGTTCTCCCGAGATCTTTCATTTCAAATTCTTTCATAAGATATATTGCAGAATTTTCAGTTTCATCAGGAGTTCCAATAATGTTTAAATCATCAACATATACTGCAATTATGGCGAATCCCAAATTTGATCGGTGAATGAAAACACATGGACTAATTGGATCATTCTTATATCCTTCTTTGAGAAGATATTCACTGAGACGATTATACCACATTCGTCCAGATTGTTTTAGTCCATACAATGACTTCTGTAGTTTAATGGAAAACATTTCTCGAGGGTTCGAGCTATAAGCTTCAGGCATTTTAAATCCTCCGGGAACTTTCATATAAATGTTTGTATCGAGTGAACCGTATAAATATGAAATCACTACATCCATTAGGCGCATTTGCAACCTTTCCAAAACAAACATGCCGGTGAGAAACCTTAATGTAGTTGCATCAACTACTGGAGAATAGGTTTCTTCATAATCAATTCCCGGCATTTGAGAAAACCCTTGGGCAACAAGTCAAGCTTTATATCTTACGATTTCATTTTTCTCACCGCGTTTACACACAAATACTCATTTAAAGCCCACTGGTTTTACGCCTTTTGGCGTAAGGGCTATCGGTCCAAAAACATCACATTTTTCAAGTGATTTTAATTCAGCCTGAATAGCTTCATTCCATTTTGACCAATCGTGTCGTTTCCGACATTCTTCAATTGTTGTTACCTCATTGTCATTGTTTTCATTCATAACATTTGTGGCAACGGAATAGAAAAATATCTCATTAATATCAACATCTTTTCGATTCCATTGCATTCTAGTAGAACCGTAGTTTATTGAAATTTCATAATTATCAACGTTTCTATCGTTATCTGGAATATCTTCCTCGTTTAAGGAAGTTGGATCATCATTTGAGATGTTTGTTTTGTCAATATCATTTTCTATGCCAGTATTTTCAAATTGTTCATTTTCTTGTTCAGAAGGATGAACATCTTTGGCATCACAGACCAATTCATGTCTTTTAGTTTTTCTTGGTTTTATGTCTTTTGATCCAAGTGGCCTGCCACGCTTTTTGCGTATAGAAGAATCATTTGCAAGAGATTTTTCAAAATTCTCTGTTGGGATTTCGATTCTGGCAGGGGCATTCATAGCAGGTGATGGAGTATATTCTCGTATACCCCAGAGGTATCATAATCGCCGGTGAGATAACATGACGGATCCACACCGGAGTGCATGAAAAGACTAAGTCCACAACCGGACCGACCCCGACCATGACCAACCAAGGTCAGGAACAAGCGCCAGGCAGCGAAATGACTAAAGACCAAAGAGTCATCCGACCCCGACATTGAGGTCGGGAAAACACCAGGCTCAGGAATGGGCCAAACTCGGCAAGTTATGAGCCCGACCTCGGATACCCGAGTCGGCACCAAGTCTGACATCGGAAGTCAAACATGTGGACAACCAAAGTCAAGTGTTAAGCAGTCAACCGCCACAAAGGCAGAATAATGGACGGAAGGCAAATTCCCTCTCACTGAGCCTGTGTCTCCAATTACTAACCCCGATAAGCTCAAGGTCAGGCCTGACTAAAGCATTGTGAACTTAGACAAATCCGCAAGGATCGGCATCACAAGGAGGTGTTGCCACGTCATTCCCAACAACGGATAATTTGCCAGAATGCACATGCCTAACCACAAGGGTATTCTGGTAGCAGTTTGTTAGAGATGATTCCAATCAGCCAGCTGTCCAAGACTATCTCTCCAATCACCTTTACACGTGGCTGCTCCCTGTCAGATTAGACTGTTAGTTTGTTAGAATAGCTTTACACATGTCCCCTTCTCATTAGATCAACATCTTTTTACTTGGGCACCAAGTATTGCCTTTTTCTCTTAGTATAAATATCACCTTCAAGCTTGTGGAAAGGGATCGTATTCTCAATTCTCACACTGTTACTCTGCCGGATTATACACTTGTGTTTTCCAATCAGTTCTCTCTCTCTCGTTTTACTTGGATTCCGACTACCCCCAGCCCGGTGATCCATCAACAGGAATATGTGACTTTGTCACTTTCTTTGTATCTGTGAACGCATCAGGCAACTGATTTGCAACATTTTGTAAATGGATCATCTTTTGAATTTCTTGCTCACATATATTTGTTATTGAGTCAAGATGTGATAATCATGTTGCATTCCATGTTATCTCTTTCGTACTCGGGTCTAATTTATTAGTTTCTCCACCTAAGGTCGGGAATACTGTCTCATTGAAATGACAGTCTGCAAACAGTGCTGTGAATAAGTCACCAGTCATCGGTTCAAGATATTTTATTATTGAGGGAGATTCAAAATCAACATAAATTCCCAACCTTCTTTGAGGACCCATTTTTGTACGATGAGGTGGAGCGATCAAAACATAAATAGCACAACCAAATATATTTATGTGTGCTATGTTTGGCTCTTGCCTGGTTACCAATTGCATTAGGGAATATTCATGATATGCAGTTGGTCTAAGTCGAATTAAATTTGCTTCATGTAAAATAGCATGTCCCCAAGCTGATGAAGATAAATTACACTTCATTAATAATGGTCCAGCGATTAATTGTAATCGTTTAATCAAAGATTCAGCAACACCATTTTGTGTATGGACATGAGCAACATGGTGCTCCACATCAATCCCAATCGACATACAATAGTCGTTAAATGATTGGGATGTAAATTCTCCTTTATTATCAAGTCGGATTCTTTTTATAAAATGAACCGGAAAATGAGCTCTTAATCTTATAATTTGAACAAGGAGTTTAGCAAATGCTAAATTTCTAATCGATAAAAGACTGACATGTGACCAACGTGTTGAAGCATCAATCAACACCATAAAATATCGAAATGGTCCACATGGTGGGGCAATCGGACCACAAATATCTACTTGAATCCTTTCTAAAAATGCAGGTGATTCAGTTGCAATTTTATTCATAGAAGGTATGATGATCATTTTGCCAAGGGAACAAGCCATACAATGAAAATCACTTGATAATGGAACCCTGATATTCTTTAATGGGTGTCCAAGTGAAGTCTTAATGATTTTATGCATCATTACTTGGCCTGGGTGACCTAAACGGTCATGCCACAACATGAATGTTTTCTGACATTTTTTTACAAAAATATTGAGTGTCTGATTTAGTTGTCGTAAGACAAAGATATTCCCTTTGATTTTCATTCATGGTTTCTACGTGATAACTATTTTGACGCATATCTTTAAAATTCAATAAATTTCTCCGCGATTTGCAGGAGTATAGAGCGTCATTTATAATTATTTATTCCGTTAGGGAGCATCACATATGCTTTCCGAGAGTCTTCAATGAGCTTCGCAACACCTGATATGGTATTTACTTTGGCCTTAACTAAAGTCAATTGAGAGAAATGTATTTTATTTCTCAAAATTGTGTGCGTTGTGACGTTGTCTATCAGACATAACTCTTTATCATTTGAGTGATCCATATCTTCAATATATATAAATAAACATAAGTTTGATCACAAATTATGCATATTATTTAACATAAGAGTACATACATTACACACATTTGTTTAAAAACAAAATGAAAGGGGAAGAAAGAAAAAGTACATAAAACTAGTATTATACAACATAAGGAGTCTACTATTTTATTTTGTAACATTTTGGTTTATGGCAAAAGCATCGTCCATAATGGCATCATTCGCGAAAAAGTCAGACACGTCAAATTTTGGCAGAGATGGAGTTTTGTCCGTGGACATATAAAAATTATTGGACCAATGTTCAATTCTGTTGGGCTGCTCGTGATGGTTGTTGGGCCTTATAAAAATATTAGTATGGACCCATTCGGATAAAATTTAATAATTAAATTAATTTGGGTCTACATACCCAATTGATTCAATTATTAATTAAATCTTTAAAAGAATGGATCGATCCTATTAATTTATTTATTTTGAGCTCAGTATTAAATAATGGCCCAATAAAAAAGAAAAGTCATGATTCAATATACGAAGAGGAGGACAAATCTAGTTAAGAAATCAGCCCATATGCTCGAGAAATAGCTACAAACCTTGTTAAAAAGGCTGTCCAGATATATCGA